CCAGACTATCTCGGAAGTAGCATGAGCCATGGCACAATACTCAGCCTCAGCGGTGGAATGAGCAACAATAGACTGTTTCTTACTTTTCCAAGAAATGAGAGAATCTTCGAGAAAAACACAAAGACTAGGAGTGGATTTGCAATTAGAGATGTTGCCTGCCCAATCAGCATCAGCATAAGCACAAAGAGTGAAGTCCGAAGAGGCAGATAACAGCAAACATTGCAACAGAGTGCCATGAAGGTAGCGCAGAGTATGAAGTATGGTAGCCTAATGGGTGGAACAAGGAGCATAAACAAACTGACTGAGAATGTGCATAGTATGGGAGATGTTCGGACGAGTAACGGTGAGATAAACAAGGCACCCAACCAACTCTCGATACAAAGTAGGATCCTCAAGAGGAACGCCATTAGAAGCAAAAAACTTAGCATGCAACTCAATAGGAGTGTTGACAATTTTGTCATTAGTGAGATTGGCACGAGAAAGAATATCATGGGCATATTTAGTTTGAGGGAGAAGATACCCAGTGGGAGAAGTAGCAACCTTAATACCAAGAAAATACTGAAGAGACCCCAAATCCTTCATCTCGAACTCCTGAAACAACTGATGCTTAACCTTTTCAATAGTACTAGAATCAAAGCCAGTGATGACCATATCATCCACATATAAGAGAATGAGAACAAGCCCAACAGAAATGTGCCGAACAAAGAGAGCACAATCATGATGACTAGGGCAAAAGCCAAGCTGAAGTGCAACAGAGTGAAATCACTCATACCAAGCACAAAGAGATTGCTTGAGACCATATAGAGCATGGTGAAGATGAAAAACAACACCGGGAGGGTGAGAGAGACCTAGTGGAAGGTGCATATACACTTCTTTAGCAAGGTGTCTATTCAGAAAAGCATTTTTGACATCTAACTGAAACAAAGGCCATTGATGGGCAGCAGCAACAGAGATAAGAGTGCGAACAGTAGTCATCTTGGCAACAGGGGCAAAAGTCTCATTGTAATCAATCCCATACTCTTGAGAAAAGTCCTGGGCAACCAAACGAGCTTTGTACTATTCCAAAGAACCATCAGAAAGGGTTTTGACCTTATACACCCATTTACAACCCACAACATTCTTACTAGCAGGTAATGGAACCAAATCCCAAGTCTGAGTGTTAGCCAAAGCAGTTAACTCGTCATTCATGGCAGTAATCCAGTTTGGATCATGACAGGCTTCCTTGTAAGGCCTAGGCTCAAAATAAGTATGAAGATAAGAAAGAAAAGACTGATAGGAAAGGGAAAAACATGTATTACCAAAACCAAACCAATTCAGAGGATGACGCTCTCGTTTTGGAAAACGATGTGCAAGAGGAGCAGGATCTAAAGAAATAGTTGGAGGGACAGTAGAGCTAGAGGTAGGTGAGCTCGAAAGTGCTTTGCGGTGCTGATAAACAAGAAGAGCAGGGGAAACGGGAGCTGGAGAAGCAAGGGAGGGAGTAGTTGGCGAGATATCAGGAGTGCGAGTAAGAGGCAAGGTAAAGACCTCAAGATTAGAAACAAACTCATCAAGAGAAACAACAGGTGGAAATGGGTCAATATGAACTAATTCATCCTTGGTAATAGGGACAGAGGTGGAAGGTATAGTGTAGTAGGGTAGTTTTTCTAAAAAGGTGACATTTCTAAACACATATAGCCTTTTGGTGGCAGGATCATAGCACTGATAACCTTTCTGATTAATGCCATACCCTAAAAAGACACATAGGACAGAACAAGAACTAAGCTTAGAGCGCTCCCGTTTAGGAAGGAGCACGAAGCATGCAGAACCAAAAACACGAAGAAGAAAATAATTGGGAGTAACACTAAGAAGACGCTCATACGGAGATGAGCCTGAGAGAAGAGGAGTAGGCATTCGATTGAGAGGATATGTAGCAGTGAGCATAGCTTCTCCCCAAAAGACAGAAGGGAGAAAAGATGAGAGTAGCAAAGAGTGAGTTGTATTAAGGAGATGCCAATGTTTGTGCTTAGCTCGACCATTTTGGGCAGGAGTGTTAGAACACGAAGACTCATGAATAATGCCATTAGTGGCTAAAAACTCCTCAAACTCAGACAAGTAATACGCACACCCCAAATCAAAATGAAGAACTTTAATGGTGGTGGAAAATTGAGTGTGAATCATGGAGTGAAAATTGAAATATATTTTGTAAAAATCAGATTTTCGGGTCATCAAATAAACCTAAGTAAATTGATTGTGATCATCCACAAAAGACACATAATATTGCGAACCACCCTTAGTAATTATAGGGGAAGAGCCCCAAACATCAGTATGAACCAATTGAAAAGGAGAAGATGAAATAGAACTACTTTTATTAAACGGAAGAGCATACATTTTAGCCAGTTTACAACCACGACACTCAGAAATATCATCAATGGGAAAATTGCTTAAATGTCTAGACCGAATTAACATCCTCAAACGGTCACTCGACAGATGACCTAACCTAGAATGCCAAATATAAAATAAAGAAGACTTATTGTTTAAACAAAAGGAAGACAATGCAGTAGGAGACACAATTAGAGGAATATGTAAGCTGTCCAAGATATATAGTTCTCCAACTCTACGCCCGATCCCAATCAGCCTCCTGGATACTCAATCTTGCACAGTACAATGAGAAGAAGAGAAAACAACATCAAAATCGGAATTAGATAATTCTTAATAGAAATAAGACTGAGTGAGAGGTGAGGTACATAAAATACAGGAGAAAGAGACAAATGGGAAGAGGAAATAGAACCAATAGAGTGTACAGGCATAGAAGAACCATTAGCGGTAGCAATAGTGATAGGAGAAGAAGGGAAGACACAATTGCTTAGGAGAGATGCAACAGGGGTCATATGATGTGAACAACCAGAATAAAAAATCCACAAAGTGTGGATATTACTTGAAGAGGATGAACCAGACAAACCTAAATGAGTGGTAGTCATAGCAGAGGCCTGGGACGAAAGATTTGGATTGGCTACCATGAAAGACTTGAACTGCTCAAACATAGACTGCATATTAGAAGATGGACCATTCTCAGAAACTAGTGTAGAAAAGGTGGCAGATGAGCGAGATACTGAAGATGTAGACTTAGAGGACGGTGGACTAGACGAAAGACCCTTGGGCTGCAAAAGTTTAGGGCAAGAATGTTTCCAATGGCCTTTCTGATGATAGAAGTTGCACTCATCCATGGATACCCGAGGCTTGGGCTTACTAGTAACCTGAAATAAATGAGATGGTGGGGTGGGCAAGAGTGAAGGAGTGGCAAAAACTGACTGGGAAGCAGGAGCACCATGAGCCACCTTGAACCGAGTTTCTTCCGCAATAAGTTCACGGACAACACCATCAACAGAAGGCGAGGGGGATCGATGGAGAATAGCTCCTGGAAGTGGCTCAAATTGATCACGAAGGGCCATAAGAAACTGAACAAGACGTTACTTCTCCTGATACTTTGTATAACTGTCAAGTAACTGCAAATCTAATGGTTCCATTAAAGCAAGTTGATCCTAATAAGTAGTCATCTCATTGTAGAACTCCTGAATGGACTTATCTTTCTGACTAGCACTGCGAATAGACATCTCAAGTTCATAATGTTTTGCAAAGTTGGACTCAAGATACATAGTTTTCAAATAGTCGGAAACTTGTTTAGAAGTAGAATACTTGAAAAAATTCATACCAATGGTAGTTTGAACTGAATTATGAAACCAAGTAAGAATTTGTGCATTTTTCTTACCCCATTTTGCAACATCGGCCTCAGTGTCTTTGGATTCCGTAGGTTTAATAGTTATACCAATAACATAGTTCCACCTACCTTTATCCATTATAAAATTTTTTGTTACATGACACCAATAAGAGTAATTGGTACCATCCAACTTAGTGGTGATAGCTTGCAGTTTATCATCAGCCATATTATTAGAATTAAACAACGCAATGAAATTAAAGTAGAGTGAAAAGCAACAGAGGGGGAGAGAGAGAGAGAGATGAATGACCTGTGTGAGATACGTAACCTAGGTCTCCGACTGAACCAGACCAGCGATGAAGGCTTCTCAAGGCTTAGCAGTAGAACACAGTCCAAACAATTGAAGTCAAGAATCAGAGAAGTATTGAATCAGAATCAGAGGGGAAAACGAAGTAAAAAAGAGGGACGACTGCATTTGTGTAGTCGCAGGTCTGTGTGAGACGCGATTGCTTCGTGTGAAAGGCTAGGGCTCTGAATAAAACAGAGACAGCAACCAGGAGGTGTAGGAGTGTCGAACCAGAATCAGAGAGAATAACTAGAAGTGTTGAACAAAGATTGTGAGTCAAGAAGGCTGCAAATCGGAGGGTGGCAAACTGCAAACATGGAGAGCTACGAAGACAGATGTGTGAACTGCCAACACAATGACATTCTCGAGTTGCGAACTGCAAATGCAAGCCTCCAGCAGGTCGTCGGAAGGTAAATGGCGGCTAGGATTGCCGGACCTACTCTAATACCATGTTAACAGAGAAGACAAATTTGTATATTATTGAATAATCAACCAAAAGGCTGAGTACAAATATATAATCTAAACAGAATAAAACGCTAATAACCTAAACTACTAAACTACCCTTAATGAATAATATAAAATACAATAAAATACATAATTCACAATTTCCGCATAGAATTACTTGCATATCCAGTTCTATGCTGTTATATAGTACTGCATTTGATTTATCTTTCGGAAAGACTATAAATATGTATAGCATCGTAACCTGATTCATCTATTTTATGACTCAATGATCAACTACAATTTGCTTGTGCTTTACAGAAGTAGACTAATTGCATTAATGATTCAAATTTTTGTCCTACGTATCATTTTTATAATCTTTGAATGGAACAGCTTCTCTGAAGGCTATTTTTCGACCATAAGCAATTCATGACACTGGTAATTTTGTTAATGTAAATGCCAAACCTCTATGTTGACCATGGAATGTACCATTCTTAACTTCATTTTTTTCTTATGTAGTGTAACAGTTTCATACTAAATAGCATTCCAGTGCTTGTGACAGTGACATCGTTTGGGATGTTCACTTTGCTTGGAGGAAATTTGACTCCCTCGAGGGCTTTTACATCACTTTCTTTGTTTGCAGTGCTACGTTTTCCGTTAAACATGCTTCCAAATTTAATAACACAGGTTTTGCCTTCTTCAGCTTGGTTATAATTTTATTCAGCATACAATTGAGACTTTGATATTTTGGATACTTGCAAGTAGAATAAGCAATTAATCAATTTATTCAATATGTAAACTGTGTAATATGTTATCCAATATCATTTTCTGCCACCTCCTGAACTTTCCATTTTATTCAATTGAGGAGCCATGATCGTCTTGGAAACTGAATGATTGAGGACCACATCAAAATGGTATAAAACATTAGGAGTATTTTCAAATGTGCTAGGTCGAGTGTCCTGAGCTTGAGATCTGAATGTGGGATTTGAAAGTTGACAAAGTTGACTCTTGCGGCCTTGCAAATATTTCATGAAAAGTTTTCTAGAATCTCAAGATAATTAAGCACTTAAGGGATTTCGATTTGAAAGCAAGATAGGAAGGCAAAAATGGTTAGGGTTTAATTACACCTTGATATAGTATCAAAAAATAACGGACATGGCGGGGATAATGATTTTTATTTTTTATTTTTTAATATTTATTTACAAAAACTATAATAATAAAAAAAGAAAAAAAAATTATCACTAATTTTAACAGGAAAGTGACTCAATCTACAATTTAAAATTTAAATATCAATTAACATACAAAATGGGAGCTTCTATTTGCACATCACCTATTCTCTCAATTCACAGCATTATCCCAATTTTTTTAATTACCATTATATCCTTTAATTAAATTACCTACACACCCCTCCCTCCCTCTCAACTCACTACCGTCGGCTGTCACCTCCTCCCAACCCCATGACTGCTAACTGCCACCTCCTCCAACCCCACCACCATCGGTTGTCACCCCTCACCTCCAACAGCCCCATTCCCACCCACCTCTATCCCACCACTGCTGGTTGCCATCCACCCCACTTACTTCCACTACCTTTCTCACTGCCCATACCTCTGGCGCCATCTTCGCTCTGCAATAACTCTCCAGCGCCCCTTCCCATCGTGACCTTTTCTTCTCTTCTTCGCTTGCTCACTCTCTCTTTATTTAATTGATCATCAATCAATCTCAGTCAATTGTGAGGGTTGGAGGTGGTGATCACTAGGGCTGCGGTGATGGCGGGGTGTGGTTGTGAAGGTGTTGGAGTGGGGTAGAGTTGAGGCAAGGAAGGGCTGAAGGAGTTTGGAGAAGGGACGGTGGCAGCTGGGATGTGCTATGGAGGGGCGAACGAGGGCGGTGGTGGGTCACCAGAGCTGGTGGTGGCTGGGTTTGAAGTGGGTAGGGTTAGGGTATTTTGGGCATAAAGGGTGTGAATTGAGAAAATAATAAAAAATGAAGATGGTGTGGAGGTGTGAACTGAGGAATGGTGTGTACTGCGGTAAACTATGGTGTGTAAATAGAAGCTCCCGTACAAAATACTATTTTGTCAATCATGACCCATAATATCATAGATCTCATAAGAATTTAAGTTCTGTATGGATAGAAAAAATACCATACTTGATGATGAAGAAACCTAACGAAGAAGATGATCAAAACCATTGCGTGATCGCCATCTACAAGAGAAAATAGCGCTAATGCCGCTGCCGCTGAATGGCCAGGGCACTTCGATGGGCAAATTACATTAAGAAAATAGCATAACTTATCTCATGGGGGTGTTGGTCTATTTATAACAATATGGTATCTTGCCTAGCAGGTAACATGATTGATCTAGAAGTCTTACACTACATAATCTCTAATTGGTCGGGACTTCTATGATGATAAGATTTCATCTAACAACGAGTTTTACTCTATGTATGTTACTGTTGTTGTGTTTGACTAGGATTTGACCGCTGCCTTATGCGTGATAATTCATAACTGTGCACCGCGGTTGTGTTAGGACCCTCATATTTCTGTGGTGATTTTTATTTCCCCACAAGTTCTATAATGGATAGATCATTGATAAAAAATACATAAATCCTACTATTATTCTTGAGAAGTAATAACATAGTGCTAACATATACCCAAAGTCTGCACCAAAATTTCTGCAGAGCAATGTAAATAAAAGTAGATAATAGTAACGCTGAAATTGATTTTTTTCATAGGCATATGCTTTCTGCCTATATTAGTTGAATTTTAGGACACATTTTATAGATATCGAAGATATAACATATTACGAGAAATGTTTTTTTTTTCCACCACCCTCTTGTTTCGAAATGCTACAATTTGACCACCAAAACCAACTTCTAAAATTATAAATAAAAAAAAAAATAAAATACAAAAACACAAATGTGTCATGTGGAGTATCTAGACACAAGACACGCATGTGCTTAATGTGTCCCCCTAACTTGTCCAGTGAAAAAATATTAAAAAATTGACATGCCACATGGTGTGTCCAATAAATATCTCAGTGTGTGTCTGACACATGTTAGACGCTGCTATGACTACTAAAATGGAGTAGCTGTGTTGCATAAATGCTACTTTAGAGCTGAATCAGGGTTGTTTTGCGGGATCATTAAGGTTTCTTGGCACACCCTTGGGGTGGCTCCTTGCCAGCCTCATAGATAGAAAGAGGGTTTAACCATGCGACACCTCGAATAGTGTATTACTACCTTTGGAAAGTCGTGATACAGCCCCCGAGGGATAAATGATTGAAGGATCTGAGTGAAAATCTGCTTTGCAATTCACTTTTTATTTATTTATTTATATTTATATTTATATTCTAATGTATTGCAGTGTAATTGTTTGCATTTCTTTACCTTATATCTGTTAAATAGAATGTTCCCCCCATCCTCTCCCCTACATGTTCAGAGTAGCGCTCAAGTGCTAGTTTTGCTCTAAGATTTAAATATGGATATTGCTTACAGGTTGCAAATGCAAATGTATCATTACAACGACTGGAGGAACTATTCTTAGCTGAAGAGAGAATTCTTTTACCCAATCCACCTCTTGAGCCAGAACTTCCTGCCATCTCAATCAAGAATGGATACTTTTCATGGGATTCTAAGGTTTGCTATCAACATTAAATTTACAAGTGTGTTTTGTGTCTGTGATGTTAGTTGCTTTCTGCTTTTCAATATTGCGTTTGTGCTTTAATTTTATGATTTGTTATGCGTTGCTCAAAGTTAGAATGTAAAACTATGATTAGGGCTAGAGAGAAAGAGAGAAGAAAAGAAGACTGCATTATATTGAATATATGTTTGTAGGTTCTTGTTGGAATGCATCCCACATCACCTGGAATTGCCCCATCTGTGCTGGTTATAAAATTCCAGTTTCCCTCTTGTCACACCCCAAATCCGGGCATGACCGGCCGTGGCCCACAGCGACTTAGCCCAAGGCACACGTAAGCCTAAACACGAATCCAATCACATTGAACAACTGAACAATAGTCCAATAATAAATAACCAAAACTCAATCCAGACATGCCACAATTATAAACGGCAAAATCAACCATAATCAAAAACCAACCAAACTTATGGGATATAAACAACCCACATATCAAAAATAATCCTAAATGAACTTCGATAAGAATAAATATAAATATGCACAAACTTGACATAACACTCTAAACAAAAGGAATGCCCTAGAGGTCCATGCAATTGAGAACTCCAAGTCGTGCGTATGATAATTTCTCTCATGTACTTTCAACTGTCATGGCGCATAAGCAATCACCTTCCTATGCTGTATGAGCACAAATGAAGTCTCCGCTACGCCATGAGTCCACTCTAAGTCCTTCTAACACCTGGAAATGGTACAACTAAGTCAGCTGATAGCTCAGTGAGTGCAACATGGATAGTAAATACAGTTTTGAAAACAGGTTTCAATTCCAAAATAAGATATATATCACAGAAACTAGATTGGATACAGTTTGGTAAATACAATCTGTTTCAAAAAGAAGCTCCACAATTCAACACTTAAAATACTCATGTCTCGCAAGACATGATAAACGACATTTTCCACTTAAAACAGATTATAACATGAACACCAAAATTTTCTGGGTACCAATAAAAAACAAATAATCTGCCACACAGTTCTAAGGCTATAAGCCGTTGGATCCAATACCGAACTAAGAGTCATCTCAGGGTGGCACCTGGGCCTTTCTCAAAGACGATCCGATTGAAGGTCACCTAGTTGTTTTTAAAGGTCTTTTCCTTACAATCGTTGAGCACTAGAGTCATCACGGCCCAACCCGGATCTGTTCCCTAGCGGCCAGAGTCACACACACAGTGGAATAATTTCCCTGGACTAAATACACACATGGTCCCAATAATCAATACACATCAGTTTCGCAAAACATGGTAGTTCATCATTATAAACATGAGACCAAAACAAATAGTTTACAGTATGCCAAGTTCCACATGTTTCAAAAATAATTGATTCAATTGATAATATAATAATTTATCAAAACAGTTTAATCATGAAACAACAATTTAATTTTCAACAGTTCAGGTAGGGGAACATTTATAAAATACTTTAGCATGAAACTACTCACCTGGAAACGAAAAATATAATCCTCGAATAGAGTATGAAGAGTCCAACTAGTGCCCTGAACCAATATGAGAACTACACGTCATACTAATTTAAAAATACTAAAGAATACGAACTAAGTAACCCAAACTAAAGCGCACTAAACGGCTCAACCCAACTCACCGTTACTCTTAAATATTATCTAAGTTCATGTTCTCAAGGTCTAAAATCACCCAAGACATAGGTTCGATCGAAACTTAATTAATTGTGACTTTAAGATAAAACAGAATTCAAACAAGCCTTCCCAACCTATTCGCTAACTTGAAAATTACAAAACCCTCCACGCTATTCGAAAAATTCCAATAGCCTCCAGTAATGATCTAATATATCCTAAGTTTCAAACCCAATTGGTTTTCACTTGATTTGCTTATCAAAATAATTATCTACAATTTATTATATCCAAACAGGTTGTTTTCTGCAGCACTTTAAAGAAATTGACGGTTCTCTTAATATACTGAGCAATCAATGCAAGGCCAAAAGCGTACAAAACTAGACTCGTAACCGGTTCTAATGACACTAATTTGATAATTTTTGGATTTATACCCAAAGAGAACAACACTCCCGAATTTACTGTTCGGACTGGTTTCCTGGACAGATTTGAATACCTCAATGTATATGATTTTGACTCCCAAAATATGAAAAATTCAGATATGCAATTCAATATGTAATTGATCTACTGTAAAAATTTCAGATTAAAATTCATCCGTTTGATATGGTTTCTTGGTTTTTAAAGTTTGCGATTCTGTGCAGAATTTTGGACTGAAAATTACACCCAATCTTTACACATAAATTTAGCTCCTCAAGTTTCTTAATAGGATATCTATATACACAATACATAAACCTACAACCACTCCGTGAATGAATAAAATAATTAAGAATAAGGATGAAGAACAGGAAAGAAGAGAGAAAACCTAGGAGGGCTAACCTTTGTGATCACACACAACACAATCACCCAAAAGTTCTTTGATGCAACATCTTCTTCTTTTTTTCCTTCTCTCAAACCCTCTCCGTGGCTGCTGTGTTGTTGCCCTATCTGGTGAACAAATAATAGAGTAGGGTTGTGTTTATTTTATTTTATAC